ATATGTAGTCTTCAGCAACTTCTGCTCATGCATAGAGAKTCAGTCGCTCAGCTGCAGCAGCAATTATGAATTCCTTTCTAGCTGGTCAACTTTAGTGTGTTTGCCTTCCTCCCGGCCAACTCTCATTCAGTCAGCTATCCACTCACTCATTTATTCATTCATTTTGTGTCCTAAGCTTATGCTGTTACTGCTGCTGCTCCTGCTACTCCTGCTGCTGCTCCTGCTGCAGCATTCCAGCGCTTTGGAGTATCCCCAGTTTGGAAACTCTTCGACTTTGCCATAAAGTTGTGCGCCAAGCAGTTGTGGATCCTTGCTAAAGCCGAGTCGAACACTTACTTAAAATTTGAACCCTTTTTTGCTGGCTGCTCAAAAATCGTTTTCAGCTCAGTTTTCAGTTAGCTTCACTTTTAGTTCACTTGCACTCATTTTGCGCTCTCTCTCTCTCCCCCTCTCTTTCTCTTTGGCTTTTTGGGAATTTTAATATAAGTAAACGCAGCTCGAACTGGAATTTGTGTTGTGCTCCAACTTGGAATTGGGCTAGGGCGGGGGAGGGCAAAAAGTTTTTTATCTACGACCAAATAGTTTCTGACTATTTCTCCATCAATTTTATTGGTATTACTTAGACAAAAGTTTGCCCACATTACAGAGCGATGATATTTGGTCGAAGGGAAAACAAATCTAGCTGTTTTAATTTAAAGGATTTAAGAGGCTCCAACTTTCTTGGCCCAACTGAATGTGAATGTGCCGAATGCTTGAGCCTGATCAAATCTGGCCCGCAAACACACACACACACATACATTTGACAATGCTGAAAGCGAGCAGCTTTAACTAAAGAACTTCAGACTGCAATTTTGTTTGGCTGTGCTCTAATTGCCATTACATTTGGGCCACCGCCTGCTCGTCTTGGCTGCGGCCCTGTAATTGTGACAATTGACTGTAAAAGTTGCTAACTGTAATTATCACCCGCACACCCCTCCCCCACACTAAAAGAGGAGCTTAATTAATAGACAGAACACACGTCTCGTGAACCAAAATCCGCACACAATCCGCCTCTAGCTGGCTTTGGCTTTGGCTTTGGCTCTGGCTGTGGCTTCCTGCCTCATGACGCACGCAACTCTCCGTCCGCAATAATAATTTACATTTTAAGCCAATTCTGAAAATGTAAAACAACACAACGAGCTGGTGAATGCTGTAAAAAAAATTCCATTTTCACAGTTAAATAAAAATTAATTACAACAATTTATCGTTCGCACAACAACTAAAATGGGGCGAGCACAAAAAAAAAAAAAAAAAAAAGCGAAATAAATACAAACGCAACGTAACGAATGAATTACAAGGCATACAAGCCCTCAGGACACACGGCCACGCCCCCCGCTGCCTGGCGCCCATAATGTGCGGCTTGTTGTTGTTAAACGTTGCCGGACGTCGCTTTCGGTTGAAACTGGCTAAAACGCCAAATGTTAAACCCTTTTGTTAATGCAGAATAATTGCTACGGGTCCGAGCTTCCAGTTCCGAGCTGCGATGTTGCACGGCAAAAGCCAAAAAACAACAAAACGTCAGAGTATGCTCTGACGGTATTTTTTTTTTTTTTTTTTTTTTTTGGCGTTTTTTCCTGTCTCTTGAAATTAGAGCGACTGGCGACTGGCGACTGGCGACCGGGCAAAGTGGGCGTATGCCCAGTTCCGTTTCATTTAGTTTTCAGTTTCCACCTAATTTACCCAATTGGGTAAAAGTGCTTTGTCATAATCAGCCCGGGAGCTGGGTTCGCATATCTAATGAATGGGGCTCAGGCCCGGGCCACCCTTCCCCCTCCCCCTCCTTCCCAGCGGCCAACCAACGGGGGCCAAAGAGTAGGCGCCATAAAGCAAACTTTTCGCTCGGCTTAGAGAACGATGCTGCCCCATTGGAATGGGTCTATTTGCCTCTCTCCACTCTCCTCCCTCTCGACTCACTCGTTGGGCACATATTTATCGAGTTGCTAATAGGCTGTCACATAATTAGCCTGCTAACAACAAAATCGGTTGCCCAAAAAGGTACGGACACAGAGAGAGAGAGAGAGAGGGAGAGATGGAACGAAAGGACATTAGCATTAGCCGGGCTGAAAAGTCAAAGATCTTTGCGATAATGTCCCACGGTGTCGTTGCCAGCGACTAATGCGCTCAGCCTGCCTTTGGGTTTGGATTCCTTTGAACGGACTATGGCAATGCGCTGTAAACGGATTTATCTCAGATTCACGATAGCCGGCCACAACAAAGTTTCTACCTTGACAGAGCTTCAGATGTTTTTGTAGCCACGTGCCACACAGTTGACAAGCAAATAGTCCTGACAGCCTTATCTCTATTCTGAATTACAATAATCAAAAGGCTTAAAACTATTCGAAAAGTCACAAATATCTCTACTTGGCTCACAGCAAACCTCTTTGGCTAGCGCAGCTACCCGCAGTGCTGAGTGTAGTGGGCAATGGCTTCCCAAAGGTGTCATTAAATTACCAAAGTGACTTTGAAAAATGGTGTGAAAAATGAGTTCAAATCGAATCATGGCCGTGCCCTCTCTCCCTCTGTCTCCCCTTCTCTCTCTCTCTCTGTCTCTCTGTCTCTTTTTGTCTTTGTTGAGCATTAAACGCATTTTGCATGGCTGTTGCAATTAACATCGCCGAACAGCAGCTGCAATCAGGCAATAAATATTCGATGTGGGGCGATGCGAGGCGATGATTATTGTTTCAACGCCTCAATAATTCGAACCATTTTTAAAAAATCGCTCACAAAAAAGGCAGCACACACACACACACACACACGCATCAAGGATACAGGACGAACAGGCAGACAAATATTTGTTGCCGTTGGCCAAATGCAAAATGCAAACGCAGACCGCGCTGTAAGTTGTGCGTGTCTGTGTGTGTGTGTGCGTGTGTGTGCGTGTATGTGTTGCTGGCTATGCCAATGGCCAGTGCTAATTGCCAATTATGGACAAATGCGTTCGTGCGCGAAATTAAATTAACCCCTTTTTTGTTTGACACTAGCCGAACAAACGCCACGCCCCGACTCGCCCCCCGCCCCGTCCCCTTCGCACACACCACAGCTCCAACCTGGACGCACACATCCTGCTCATGATCCTTCGGCAAGTGCAGTCCTCAATCGCTTGTTACCAAGTGCCCCGGCATGTCATCAATCAGCCCAGCCACGTGACGCGAACAGAACATAACTACGCGATGCGCAAATATGAAATATATTTATGTGCCTTAATTGATCCGCGCTAATTGGGGTATATGCGAGCGTCCACTGAAGATGCGACAGTAATGGAAAGAGATGGGAGATGTTGAGAAGAGAGAAATGGGCTAGTGGAAGTGGATGTTGAGCTACTCTTGGTAAATGCTGAACTACTCGCAGTCTATGCTGAGCTACTCTTAGTCAATGTTACTCTCCGTTTATGCTGAGCCACTCTAAGTCTCTGCTTTAGAGTATTGATATTTTTTTGTTACCTTTACTACAATACTTATGTTTGTATAGGCATAAGGCCTAGAGATCTCTGCTCAAAGCTTATCAAGTTGCTCATCTGAAAACAATATTCATGAATTTCAATATTGATTTTATATGTAAAGTATATTTAATATGTTTATGTATAATATTCATTTTCTTCCTAGTTTATATATATTTATATATAGTGCTATTATATACATATGTTATTATAGTATATTAGCATATACAGTAGAATCCGATTATAGCAAGGCTCAAGGCATCGTCGTTATACCCGGAAGACGCTTTAGGTATATAAGTTTGCTTATATAAGTTTGTTAGCCGTTTTCTACTGTATATTTAAAGCATATAAATATATACTTTTAAATGCAGTGAAAGTCTCAATGATTCACACCCTACTAAATCAAAAATCACTATAAATAAAAAAATTATTCTCTCCCTTTAAAAATTTTCTTCTTAATAATGCTCAATAATTTTCATATCTGTATAGATAAATAAAACTGATCCCCTTGCCATTTCGAATTATCGGTACTCGACTGTATGTATATTTTTATATAGAGCATCTGTAGTTTGGCTTTTGTAAAAGTTGCCTGTCAGAAATATCTTTGTCGTTTTGCGCTGTGGTCAACTGACAATGTACACATCGTTGTGCAATTATTAAAAATTGACTGATTGGCACAGGGTATATGCACACACACACACACGCACACTCACACTCAACAAAGTACATGTGAAAAACAACAGCAACAACGATGACAACAACAGCAGCAGCAAAGTCAACACCCAAATGAGTTAAATGGCAAACTGAATCGAACCGCATTCAACCACATTACAAGCGCGCATTAAAAATAATACAATTTTGAAAGTTTCATAAATAGCGGCTGTCATTACAATTTATTTAATATTTATATTTTTTTTTACCCAAGCACCGCTCACTCCCAGCAGCAGCTGCTTGTAAAATGGGAAATGGAAAAACTGGAAAAAAAAATAAGATAATAACACGCGTCGTGTCAGATTTTCAGATGTTCAGGTTCAGATATGTTAATGCAAACAATGAGCCATTTCATGTGTTATTTTTGTCAGATGCCAGAGCCGAGGCAAAGAGTTAATAAATTATTGTATAGAGCACATCAACAACAGCAATAACTACAACAACAATAACAATTAGTGCAGTAGCAGCTGTGCCTGCTTTGATACGATTTAATTTGCATCGCCTGGGCTTACGTTTCACTCGTATTTATCTGGCTTCTTGTTGGCCGCATCGGAGTCTGGCTCCTTGGTCTGTTCCTCCTCGCCTTGCTCCTCCTCTGCCTCGTTCTCCTCCTCGATGAGGGAGCGCTGGCTGGTGCGCGGCGTGGGCGGACGCAGTACCGTAACCACATAGCCACGCCCAGTCGACGAAGGCTTGTTCATGTTGAGGAATCGATGACGCAGTCGCTCGCGCTTCTCCCTATGGCGCTGCTCGATCAACTCCTCCAGATTCACTGCGTGGGCGGATATACACCATTATATATGCCTTATAGGTATATCCAATTGATACTCACTGCTGGTGCTGCTCTGCTTGTCCTCGGACTCATTCTGCCTCTTGAGGATCTCTCGCAGCCTCTGCAGCGAGGTCGTCATGTCCATCTGCGATGAAGTGTTCTGACTCAAAAGACTGTGCGATGACTGCGGCATATAGAAGCCCAGTTTGTTATCTGAGTGCAGAGGCCAGAGAGTCAATAGAGAAGACTAACCTCAATAACCTAATCGGGACTTACCCAGGGATGGAATCAGTTTGGCTGTGGAATGTACTGGAGGTGCAGTGCGTTTGGATTCGTCTATGTAGGGCAGCTCGTTGGGGAACACCTCGTCCCAGTATTGATCCTTGAGCAGCTCAGGATGCTCCTGGTGCATTTCGTCCACAATCAGGTAAGAAACCGTCAAATTGCGATCGATCATCCAATTGACCTGTAAGATAAGGTCCATAAATCCTTGCACATATATGCAGACTCTTCGGCTTAGTCACCTCGAAGTCATCATCGTCTTCTCCGAAGGGATTTATCAGCGACTCGGCCACCTTCAGCCAGCCCATGTAGAAGAAGAAGCGCAGTATGCTCAGTATCGGAAAGTATTTCACGACCAGATTGTTGGCCGTGGGACTCTGCGGATTATCTATCCACTGCGAGCCAATGACGCTGCACAGGAAGAACGTGTAGGTGGCCAGGGTGACCACCTGGGTGTAGACCAACGGCACGCTCACCCAGTCGTAGTACAGCAGGAAGCCGCACAGGCCGCGAAAGCGATTCAGCTCATCGATGATCGTCTTCACGGCGTAGTCGTCCCGGATCTTGTTCTCCCTGCGGGCGCGCATCACAATGCTAGCAGCCCACACGATCGGCATCCAGTGCTTGGGATAGTGGGGAAAGGCCAGATCCAGCGTCTCTATGATTTGCTTCTCGTTCTCCTGCAGCAGGCCTGCCTCGATGATTTGATTGTAGCTGGGGAAGCGCTTCTTGACGCTGGGCGAGATCATCGTGAAGACGATTGTCTGGCAGAGGCAGACATAGCGCATGATTGTGCGCCGCATGGCCCGGGCACGATCGTCAAAGCCGTGCACGCTGCAGCTGATCAGCGTGGCTATTGAGTCCGGCCACGGAATCGTCGTATACTGCTGCCACCAGCGCGTCATCACAATGGCCACAAAGTAGCCCATCACAAAAGACAGCGGTATCAGATTCAACTGGCTGTTGCAGTACATCACAGCATACTCGAAGCCCCTGAAAGATTGACAATCGCTGAGCAAAGTCTGCTGGCTAATAGACTGGCTAATAGAATGATAGCTTACTTGCGCAATGTACTGTTGAGACAAACTCGATAAATGAACGCCAGGAGCACATAAATGCATACAAACACAAGCAAGTCAACCCACATCAGCTTGTAGATGCTGCCGCGCCATCTGCAAGTAATCGTAGGCAATGTTGGGCCGCACTCACAGTTGCCTTACCTCACAGGATACACAGGATACTTACCTAAACAATACGCGCAAAAAGTTGCTTATAAACCTTCTGGAACTGACGTCCGCCGTATAGGTAACAGTCATGATTAAAGCGCTTCAAATTACAAACTTACAGTAGAGGCAATAATAAAGCAAAGCAGAAACTTTTTGAAGGCCTACTCTGTTAAAAATATTTTTATAAATTGCTTCTTGATTTTGCAAGGATAGCTTCAATGGTCAAAAAGTATGAAAATTTGGAACTTCCTTTATTTCCTCCGATCGAGAAAAGGCTAGGAAAAGCTGCTTTATTTATTAATGCATTTCTTAAACTTTTCTCCATTTCTTTCTAGAGCTAGCTAGCTCTAGTAAAATATAAATATTATTTTAGTTTTCAATTCATAATTCAATTATTATTATCATATGTAGAATGAGATTTAATTATAATATAATATAAATATTATACAAGTCTCTAATGTTTGCTTATTATTACTGATCCTTCATTTTGTGCATATAGCTCTTCTCAGTTTGAGCTTCGTGCTCAGCAGAGGGATATGGAATGTTGTCGCTGGGTGGACTATCGGGGGGCAGCTCAACCTCCGATGGAGTGGCTGAGTCGGGCAGGTGTTTCAGTTCACCCTTCAGCAGGTCAAAGGTCATGGCTGCATGCTGCAATTGCCGGGCATGGCGTTCGCGCTCGCGCTCCTCGCGCAGCCGGTCGAAGTCGTCTTTGCTCGTGCCACGCGACAGCAAGTGATCCGACTCGTAAAAAGTCTCCTCCTCTTCGCCTTCGCCCTCCGCCTCCGGTTGATCAATGCTCGGCTCATTGTCGAGCATGGAAATGGAAGACGAGCTGCGATGAATGTTGAAACGGAGCGATGCGAACTTAATGCGCAGCTCGCTGCTTTTGACCCACTCATCCTCGGCATCGAACTCCGTAAAGTCGCGCTCGCTCGTATCGCTCTCAGTGCGCTTGCGCAGCTGTGAAGATGTGATCTTGGAGAGGTCCAGCTTGGCGGTGGATGCCTCGGGCGGATTCTGGCGTTGCGACTCATCGGCATATGGCAGCTCGTTGGGGAAGACCTCGTCCCAGTATTGATCGCGCACTAGGGTCGGATGATCGTTGTGCATTTCGTCCACAATTAGATAGCTGACCTGCAGATTGCGATCGATCACCCAGTTGAGCTCGAAGTCRTCGTCGTCGTCGCCGAACGGGCAAATCAGCGTCTCGGCCACCTTTAGCCAGCCCATGAAGAAGAAAAACTCCAGCGTGCTAAGCAAAGGAAAATAATAGTTAACAATATTACTATCCCTTTTGCCGATGTACTGATTCCCGAAAATGGCAGCCACGAAATACGCGTAGACAGCCAGAGTCACCACCTGGGTGTAGACCAGCGGCACACTGATCATGTCGTAGTGGGTGAGCATATTGCAGCCCGCCCGGAACTTGTTCAGCTCGTCGATCATGGACTTGAGCGAGAAGTCATCCCAGATGCGGCCCTCCTTGCGGGCGCGCGTCATGACGCTGGAGGCCCACATGAGGGGCATCCAGTACTTGGAATGCTTCGGAAACTTTTCGTCCATTTTGGTGATGATGAGTGCCTCGTTATGGTTGAGCAGGCCCGTGGTTATGAAGAAGTCGTAGGTGGGAAAGCGGCGCTTGATGCCCGGCGATATCATGGTGAGCACCATGGTCAGCGAGAGGCACACGTAGCGCATGATGGTGCGACGCATCAGTCGGCCATGCTCGTCCTGGCCACGCACCAAGGCGCTCACATAGACGGCCAGTGGATCCGGCCAGGGCACGGTGATGTACTGATTCCACCAGCGCTCCACAATGATGGCCACGTAGAAGCCCAGCACAAAGGAGAGCGGTATCAGGGCTGCGTAGCTGCGACAATAGTCCACAATATCTTCAAAAATGCTAAATGGTTGAGGTTGGATTAAAAGCGTTATGTAAAGGACTGGGAGTGGAGAGTTCTGCTAACCGTTTGCCCTGTCCACAAAGGCCGTAACGATACAAGAAAGCCGTGGCATAGAAGGCAATCAGGAACGCTAGCAGATCAGCCCAAATTAGCTTGTAAATGCTTGCACGCCACCTAAGCGATTGTTAGCTAGAGATTTTACACTGCCTGCGATATGTAGTCAGCTGCGACCTACCTGCCCAGCAGCTTCCAGAAGCAGCCAAAGCGACGGCACGTTGCTACCTCGGCGGTATAGGAAACAGTCATGTTTGAACACGCTCGGAAAACGGATTAAGTCGACTGAGGCAGCTGCAAATGATTTGAGCTAAATTTCAGGCACAGAATAAAAGGCCAACTAAGGTTAGTCGATAGAGCTACACAAGGCTGGGAATTAAGTTAGTTGGTTTTGAGAATCACATAGAGTGAAAAGCCAACTAAGGTTAGTCGATAGAGGCGAGCAAGTTGGCTTTGAGAATCGCATAGAAAGGCAATACTTTTCACCTTATTATTATCCTAATTCGATAGATTGCTACATTAGCTATTACATTATTATTACAATGGATGAATTCAGATTTCCTTTCTGGCAGTCAAATTCTTCAAATTCTCTTCATATTTGTTGTCGACAATTGCAAATTGGCAATTCGCAATCTCAGCCACATGTGCCAAGAATTTCCGGCACCTGCGTAACCCAAATCTGTTGCTTATGTGTGTGTGTGGGGGGAGGGGAATTTACTTAGCAGGTAGCTACGTTGGGGTAATAAAATTTTAATGCCCCTCATCTACGACGTGAGTTGCGTGATTTAGAATCCCCCCCTTAAGCGCCCGGCCCTGATCCGATCGTATCATGTGCTTTGAGTGAAAGTGTGAAGAGCATTGCGAGTGCCTTATCAGCAAGGTACAAATGTATTGTTCGATTGTGATTACGATTACGATTGTGACGCTGACTTGAAGTGTGAGTACTCATACTCTGTGTATATATGTATTAAATATATATACGTATATATCTGTATGCGGAACGGCTGAGCTACTTCTGATTGTTTAGCCTGTGACTGTTGACTGTGACTGCCTTAACGTGACGCATGCACTGAGCAAAGTGCGACAGATGAAACTAAACATTTTCTTTAAATAATAATACATTTTACTAAAATAAATCAAAATAAAATAATTATACACATTTCACTTAAACATGAACTTTGATTTATTTAATTTTTTCGTTCATCTCCAGCTTATTTCTTTCAGTGTATAATCCCATGTGACGAATAGCTATAAAAGCCAGGGCGTAGATCGCCTCGCTTTATTAATGCGCGTAATCAGTTTATAGATAATTTAATTGTTGCTATTAGCGAAGCGTTTATCAAGCATATGAGAAATAACAGTATTTCACAAACAACAATAACAAGTGCCAAGGGTGGGCGGGGCGGAGCGGATAGGGGGTTGTGGGTAGTGCTGCAAAATAATCGATATTCCGTAATATCGATATTCGCGATATTTTCAGAGAAAAAGATCGATAAAAACGATATATCGAACACTTCTTTTAAATGTTAATTTTCTTGCTTAGAABCTATTATAATATTTATATTAATTATGACTTCTTAATGGATAAAATGGCAACCATTTCAAGATTAAAATAAAAGCAACAGCATCAAACAAAAACAAATTTATTCAACCGAACAAAGTCGTATAACAAATTATTTTTCATTAACTTAAACCTAAAACAGCAATTCATTAAAGCTCAAATTCACTATGCTCCTTAAAATTATATTATAATAATAACAAAAACAATTGCCTCCATGGCAGTTTGAAAAAGAAAAGAAATTAAGNTTTCCACACTTCGGATTTTTTTGGGGCTCCCACGGTCTTATTTTCTTCATCGGAGTCAACCCTCGCCGCGCCTAAAACACACAAGCTATGATTCCAAGCTTTTCCAATAGTATATATCAATTGTACTTACGTTTTCTTCCCAAAAACTGATCCATTTTTTTCTTTCTATTGCAATTAAATTAAATCAATCAATTTGTATACAATTTAGCAAAATTAAATAAATGCGCTTCTTACACAGTTAAAACCAACGCCAAGAATAACCATTTTTTCGATATATCGATACTAAGAAAGCCATATCGATCTTTTGCCAAAATTCGAAAATATCGATTATAACGATTCCGATCCGATATTTTTGCAGCACTAGTTGTGGGCGCTGCCATTGTAAAATATGTTGCATCACTTTTGAGACAACTCAATTGAATTTGTGTTTTCGTAAATCTGCGATAAAATCCAAATAATCAATGCCTCGATTTGACGGACCAATGTCTGTCCACGTATCTCATCAGCATTATCAGCATTCATAAATTAAGCATTTTATTACAATATAAATGTTAATTAAAATCACTTATTGTGCATGAGTTTGACACTTGAGAATGCGAAGATTGCATTTGGCAGCTCAACAAATCTAATCTGCGCCAATGACAGAATTTTAGTCGAACTCCCATATAGATGGCTGAATTATGATATAATTAAATTTCGGAAATGTCTAGTCGATCTAGAGCTGGAAGAGCTTTGGCTATTTTTGGAAGTGCATTAAGGGAATTAATGCTCCATCTATAAATATCGCTCAACTCGTTTTTAGCTGACCCATAAAATAAAGTAAAGCAAATATTTATGACCAGGCTGAAGTGCTATTTAAGAGCTGACATGAGAACTGCTTAGTCTCACGCCCACTCTCTCGTTCTCTCCCTCTCTCCCACTCTCTCTCGCTCTCTCTGTTGACTGATATTGTAGTTGTTGTTGTTGCTGCTGCTGCGGCTGGAGTGGGCGATATAGGCAACTGTTTATTATCACCTAGTTTCAGTTAACGTTATTCGCTGAGCGCGTCAATAGCCGCCGTCAACAGCAACGGGCGCTGAGGCCTCGACTCATCAGATCGGAAATAAAGCAGCAAATCAATACGAGACATACAACACAACAATCTTATCTCAACAACATAAATAACAATACGCGTACATGAGTTTCGGACTCGGCTGCCAGCGAGGGGCGAGGCGCTGCACCTGCTGCCACAGCTGAGAGGCTGACTCGAGTCGAGACAATCGAGATCGTTCGAAGACGTCACAGCATCCGCATCGTTTATACCTGCTAATTTACTAACTCCCCGTCGCTATTACTGCCGACTCCTCTCTCCCTCTCTCTTTCTCTCTCGCTCTGTTTATCAACGAGTTACCTGCAGCATTTGTAGTTTTAAATGTTGTTTACCGTTGCTTTGCTCTCATTCGGCTGCTCTGGCGGTGCTTTTGCATCTCTTATCAGTATCTGATGCTCGAGGCGCACTCTACCCATCTCTCCCAATCTCTCTCACTCTCTCTCTCTCTCTCACACACACGCACGCTCGCTCGCTCGCTCTATTTGCCGTCTTCTTATCTTAAAGAACAATACAAATTCGCGGCTGTAACTCGACGTCCGCTCGGCAGACGCATTCAGAGCACGGACTCTGCCAGTTGTGTTGTCGCGAATTTCGAATCAACTGTGAATACGCTTCGAATACACTCGAGAATACGAGCTCTCAATCCGGCCAACTCAAATATTTGCACAGAGTTTGCAGCAATTGCAGCAACAGTCGGCAACTGTTTCCAAGTTGGTAAGTCAACTAATTATCCATGTACTAGATAATTGGCAAATACTTAAAATATGATTAATTATTATATAAAACGCACACACAGAGATACATTTGCCTATATATAACTCTACATTCGACACAGTAGAGCCTGCACTCACCTAGACCCACATCATTATCTTTATAAGCAGCAGCATGAAGAGGAAGCAGCAGTGTAAATAGACCGCAGCAAAGTGGCCTTAGAGCCAAATAGTTGAGCATCTATGCTTATCAGTTAGCTACCTTAGTCATTGGATAAGCCAAAAGCAGACGAAGACTAACTCAAGAAACGACGATTTTCTTATCACAAAAAGCCAGGGGAGAGAAACAACTTTAACTCAAGGAAAACTATAGACAACAAGACAAACTTTGCGCTGTTTGCCTAAGAAGTCGGAGAAGAAGTCTAAGTAATTTTCCCTCTGCGTCATATTCAAATGATTTGAATCTAGTATCGCCAGGCTGAGCTCTGCTGGCTGAGCTGCAGCACAAAGGCGATTTGATTGCAATTTGAGCTCAATAATTTGTATAATTAAATAATGAATTGATAAGCGACTGGGACAATGCAAGATGTGGGTCCGAGTCCGAGTCGCTTCATGCACATGATCTTGGCAGCTGGGGCTGCACGACTTGAACCCTAAGACAAGACTTAGATAGATGGAATATTTGTGGTTTAATGAACTTTCGTTCGCAGAGATACCAGCATGGTTCAGCAATATTCGGCGTGGAAGGTTCTAACACGCCGCAAGCACCTGGCACCGGATGGCAACGAGGGCGAGAGCAAGCTGAATCGCGTCCTGGGCCTGTGGGATCTCACGGCACTGGGCGTGGGCTCGACCCTGGGCGCGGGCGTCTATGTGCTGGCCGGCCAAATAGCCAAGGATCAGGCGGGCCCCTCGGTGATGCTGTCCTTTGCCATAGCCGCACTGGCCTCCCTTCTAGCAGGTGAGCAAACAGCTGAGCAAATCTCTGGCAAATCATCGACTGACGCAAGTRAATCCCTTCAATTCTAGGCATCTGCTATGCGGAATTCGGAGCGCGCGTGCCCAAGGCGGGCTCCGCCTACGTCTACAGCTATGTGTGCATTGGCGAGTTTGTGGCCTTTGTCATTGGCTGGAATCTGATGCTGGAGTATGTGATTGGCACGGCGAGCGTGTGTCGCGGCATCAGCCTCTACCTGGACACGCTGCTCAATGATACGCTGAAGCAGAGCTTCGCCGAGGCGGCGCCCATGCACGTCAGCTTTCTGGGCAGCTACTTTGATTTCCTCGCCTTTGGCCTGGTCGTCGTCTTTGGCGGTGAGTTGCCTCTAGATTCTGGCATGGAATATTTTGTGAATGAGAATCATTCTGATTCGAACTCTTTGCAGTTGCCCTGGCCTTTGGCGTGGAGACCTCTGCGATGGCCAACAACTTTGTCACGTGCGTGAATATCTTCATCTTAGGCTTCGTCATCATCGCTGGCGCCATCAAAGGTAGCTCGACTGACTCGACCCTTGACCCTGTCAGCTAATTGGAATTTGATTTTTCTTGTAGCCGACTTCAGCAACTGGACCGTGGATGCATCGACGCCGCCCGAGAATGCCACCAACATAGGCAATGGCGGCTTCTTTCCGTTTGGCTTTGAGGGCACATTGCGAGGCGCCGCCACCTGCTTCTTTGGCTTCGTGGGCTTCGACTGCATTGCCACCACGGGCGAGGAGGTGCGTCATCCGCGCAAGAACATACCGCGCTCCATTCTGCTCTCGCTGCTCATCATCTTCCTCTGCTACTTTGGCGTCTCCACTGTGTTGACCCTGATGCTGCCTTACTACGAGCAGGACGTCAACGCCCCGCTGCCCTACGCCTTCGAGTATGTCGGCTGGCCGGTGGCCATGTGGATCGTTACAATCGGTGGTTTGGTTGGCCTGCTGGCCAGTCTGTTTGGCGCGCTCTTCCCCCTGCCCAGAGTCATGTACTCCATGGCCCAGGATGGCCTGCTGTTTCGCTTTCTGGGCAAGGTCAGTCCGCGCTTCCAGGTGCCCGTGACGGGCTCCATTGTGGCAGCGCTCTTCACGGCCCTCATTGCGGGCCTGTTCGACCTGGCGCAGCTGGTCAACCTTCTCTCCATTGGCACTCTGCTGGCCTACAGCGTCGTGGCCATCTCCATCACCATTTTGCGCTACATGGAGTACTGCGACGCCGAGGAGCAGACGTCGCCCACGGCGCCCATCTCCGAGACGACGTCGCTGACAACGCGCAGCACGCGCTTCACCTGGAGCTCGATGTGCACTCAGCTCTTCAATGTGCACCGCGTGCCGGAGCCCAATCAGATCTCCACGCGCATCGTGGGCGTGCTGACAACTCTGTTCTGTAGGTGCACTCAGCGAGCAGGAGGCGGCAACAGCTTTACTCTAATCTCTTGTCTACTCCCCAGGTCTGCTTTCCCTGGGTCTAGGAGTGCTGCTCATGCAGGCTTATCCCGCCATCAAGTCCCAGAAGCCCTGGGCTTTGACTCTGCTTATTCTGCTCATCCTGCTGATTGCCGTGGTGCTCCTGCTCATCTGCCTGCAGCCACGCGAGGCGCACAGTCGCCTCTTCCGGGTGCCCTTCGTGCCCGTGGTGCCGGCGATTAGCATCTTTATTAATATTTATCTCATGCTGCAGCTGGATAGCTGGACCTGGATACGCTTCGGCGTCTGGATGATTGTGGGTGAGTCGCTAGCTCAGCTCCCAATTCATTGTTGCATGTTAATCTGCGTAGCCTTTGACTAATGCATGTTCCACTAACCGTAATGCCTTAGGTATTCCCATATATCTTGCATGCTGGTGTCTCTATGACATCAAAGATCCCACCAAACGTAATCCCGAACGCCTTGCGTTCTACAGGGCACTGAAAATGCCCAATGAGCAACCCCCAGTGCCCTGCAATGCCAATGCCAATGGCAATGGCAATGGGTTTGGGCATCCATCCAAGCAGAGCACGATTACAAATGAAACGCAGATTAAGCGAAATTCGAGCAGCTTGGATGAAATCCAGAATCTAAGCGAGGTGGTCGATGAACTGAAGGAGCACAAAAATGCCAATGGCAAAATATTTTTCGTTGAGGACACGAAGAGTGTCCATTCGAGCACCAGCACCCAGAGCACCAACGAGGCCGAGGACGAGCGCTCAGTGATAGCCATGCTGGACGATGTGCTCGAYGCAGAGGACTCGCAGCAGCAGCAGCTGGACGAGCAGCAGATCTTTGAGCGCAACTTCAGCATCGACTCGGAGCTGCTGCCCAGTGTCATAGAGACCACCATTGTGGCCACTGTGCACAGCAGCAGCAGCGATGACGACGATGTGAGCAGCCAGAGATCCGGGGAGCGGCCCACGGTGGAGGAGTGCAGGCAGGCGGCTGGCGATATGTTGCGTGAGCTATTCGATAGTTCGGCATTCTATGAGCAGCTGCAGGCAGCCAGGGCTAGCCGAGAGGCCAGCAGGGAGCAGGCAGTGGCAGTGGTGGCTCGTCCAACTCCCGTTGAGCTCAGAGCTCAGCTCAGGCGCGTTCCCTCAGTCAGCTCAGTTGCCTCGCAAGCCTCGATTGCCTCCTCGGTGGAGGATCCGTTGCATTCGGAGAAGTTTAAGGATCGCCTGAGCCATATTATAATGAATCCCAATGCCAATAAGCACAGGCGCAACGAGGAGCCTGCGCCGCTGGAGGAGGCAGATGAGGCCAAGCCCAGCAGGCCGCAGCTCAAGCAATCGAAAAGTGAAACCGATGTCCGYCTGCTGCTGCTGAAGGCCATACGCGAGCTGAAAACGGACGACGATGAGGCTGATAATAAAAGTAACGGTAATGGCAACGGTAATGCAAATGCCAATGCCAATGCCAGTGCCAGCGCCCGCGCCATTGCCAATGAGCCAGCCGTGGCAGCGCCCGGAGCTGCCCATATACCGCGCGCTCCGAAATTCGATCCGGTTTTGTACAAGACCATAAACAGCATTAGTTTGCACAAACAGCGACCCAGTTTGAATCGCGAGCTGGTCGTGGATGCCAAGAATACGAAGCTTCTGGTTCCGTCAACGCTCATGCCCACATCCGGATTCGCAGAGCCAAAGCCAGTGCCAGAGCCAGAACCAGAGCCCGAATCCGAGTCAGAGCCGGTGCCATTCAAAGCGAAATTGGAGGCCATATTACAGCGGGGACCCTCGCATCGTCTGCAACAGCGTCCGGGAGCGGACGGTGGTGCGGTGGTGCGCCGTAGGCCGCAGTCGGTGTACGTCGAGGAAGCGGCAATTGAATGAGCCGAGCCAGGCTAGAGAGGATTGCAATTCAATTCTCAATTTTGTAGCATACTGTAAGAGTAGCTACACACACACACACACACACACACACTCCATCTACTAATCTGTTGTAATCAAATGTTGTTATAGTAGCGAGTAGCTGTTCCCATGAGTCAGTGCAATGGAGGCAATACTAGATGTTAAGTGCTTAGGGTTACAGAGCACAGCAATTCGATTGCGAAATTTTGAAATTACAAAATGACGAGTTAGACGTGTGCTCTACGCCAATTAATAGCAGCGGATGTCGGTCGAAATATGTTGAAATGGAAATGAAATGAAAATGTAAATGAAAATCCCAATCGAGCTACGAATATCAGAGTTAGAATTTAGTTTTGTTAGAGAATGAAAATGGTTTCTATTATGCCTATTGAACCTTGTGATATTAACCAAACCCTAAGTGAGGCAATTGCTCCAAGTTAGCCCTGATTGCATATCAGGAGCTATGTAACTATAAATTAAGATCTTACAGTGGTATTACCTTTCGCATGTGCATGATGTGTGCCAAGTATTATAACGTTTAACTAATCCAGTCAGTTCGATTTCCCATCCATTCAGGTCTCTCCATATACTTTTTCTATGGACTGCCCAATAGCTATAGGGAGATGCGAAGACAGCGCGCCGGCTGGCAGAAGCTCAAGTATAGCGAACAGTTCTAGGCGTCTAAGCACCAAAGATCAAAGCGGATGGAGAGAACTGAATCAAAGCTTGATTCATTAATGAATAGGTCTATCGATGCGTATTTACATATGTATGTGTCCTAAGCCAATTTGATAAATGTGAACAATTTGTTGTTATAAATAAAAATCTAGTTGTAATTAATAAAAGTCAAACTGCATTTTGGATATGTCGAGAGCAACTGCAGCAGCCGCTTCCGGGCGACGAGCCCAAGACGATCGTTAGTTTATTAATAACTCATGAATGGATCGTCATTGTCGTTTAATTCCCGAAGGCCTTGTCTGCGCACTGACTTTGATAAATGAATTGATGTTTGCCTGATCGTCCAAGACAAAACGAGAACCGAAATCGAGGCGGGGCTGGGGGTTGGAGTGTGCCAAGAGAGTTGTGCAGCAGTTGTCCATGCCCCTTTGGTCTAGCATTGATTTTGATTAGACTGAAAAACATCCCCTGGGCCCCTTGCCACTTGCCCTTTCCCCTTTTTCCTCTTCCCTTTCGGCTTTCCCGTTTACCCAATCGATTGGAGGCTGTGCTGCCTGATTTATGCCCTCGTTTTCTGGGCATTTCTCTGGTCAGGTTGATGAGACCAGATTCCGGACTCCAGATTTGTATAACCGCAACTGGCGACTCTGCGGCATTGTTTCCTTGCCTACGTCTCCGTCTCTGTCTTCGTTCAGGGGGTTGGTCGCACTTTTTGTGCTGTGTAAGTGTAACAAATTGTAATCGCATTTGCTGCCAGCACTGCCTGCCGCTGTATCCACCGACATCTCTGTGTGGGGGCGTGCCAGCGATCCCACTCCGCTCATCCTACGTCACCCCAGTCAGCCCAGCTCCCTTTTGCTCTGCTTTATTATTATTAACTTTGTTATGGTGCACAGTAGTCTCAGAAGTCTACGCAATTCCCCTTGCGCTCCACTCCAACTGGCGTCCCGGTGGTTGGTTCGCCACACTTGCTGCTGTCCGCGTCGGCCCAACCCCCCCTTCCCCTTTTATCTAGTCAGGGCAACCAAATAGTTTTATGGCATATTTATGGGCGCCAAAACTTAAAGTCAGTCTCCCGGGCTAAGACTTTAAGACAGCCACACGACTTACTGACAAATTGCAGAAGCCAAAACTAATTAACAAAGCAGCCAGCGCATTAGATTCAACGGACGACGCTGCGCAATACACTAACCAACCCGGGGGGAATTGTTCGGTATTTCGAGGTCGATTCTATACTACATGGAAAGTGCGTGTAAGAGAACTATAAATACATTCAAGTATATGGAAATTAAGAGACACATATGATGTGATCTATGCTGAGGCTGACTGTTAGAGTATCTAAGTTGAGCGTAAGCCTTTTGGACTGAGCTCTAATAACATTCCTGGACTTATTTCTCTCTTCATCTCTTTTGCTTTTTGTATGTGTGTCTGTGTGTGTGTGTGTGTGTGTGCGTTTGTAATGTTTTGTTTGAAGTTAGTTAGTTCTGCTGGCCAAAGCGGCTTTTCATATTCATAAAAATTGCGAGTTTCCATTTCCATTTCCTCTGCATGCACGGAAAACATAATCCGCTTATGGTCGCTACAAATGCGTATTGGACTTCACTTGGACGCAACTTTCCCGTTTTCCTCTCTGCTCTTCCAAATACATATATAGAAATGATGTTGTTTTTCGTCTTGCTTTGAAAATTAAAGAGACAGCTAACCAAGAGCGGAAATTGTCAACGTCGCAGAGGCTCAGGTAAATTATAAATATGAATGTGAATGCGCCCGCATTGTTTGTCTATGCAACCTGCATGAGCAAATAGAGCGCAGGAGACGCATGAGGCAGCTCTGGCCGGCCGGCAGGGTCTGGCTATGGCCCTGGCCAGAGTCAATGGGCACTCAACAAAAACATTTTGTCAAAACATAAAGGCGGCTGCTACTGTACGCAAAGTGGATCAGTGGATTTGTCCGCCCTATGCGGAGCAAAAACAAAAATCCAGTCAGTGGCAACAGCTGCTCGACGCGGTGCGGCTGGCAGGTGGTGAGTGCGGCACTGGGATTGGACTACCGAAAAAAAGGATTAGCAATTGGTTTAGCATTTTGTTCAATCGGCCATGGCCAGCGACGACTGAGCGAGTGCGACAATGAATGCATCTCTCTCTCTCTTTCTCTCTCTCTATCTCTCTCTCTCTGTGTGTTCCTGTCAAGGTCTGGGCGAGCATGCAACTGGCTGTTGGATTAGTACGCTACATATGAGATTATGCGGTTGGCTTACGGCTCTAACTCTTTGGGCATTATCAACAGAGTAAGAGTTGAAAGACTTCCGCTTCAGCTAAAAAGCCATTCATGAAATATTTTTACCCGCAAATGAACTTCTGATAGAGCCTCGCAAAAATTCTGTTGCCAGAAAAGTTACAATTCACTCTCATATTTCTCTAGTTCATCTGGGAACTTCTTCTGTTATTTAATTTGTGTGCTGAAGACGGCAAATTGTTAATCCCAATTTGTTTGAATTAGATTATAATACGCTTGATTTCCCAGGCACTTTCGAGGCATTCTTTGTATGGCAGGACCTCGACATAATTGCTTCTTTGTCATTTACCACTGAGGAGAACGAGAACAAGGAGAAGAACAAGAACAAGAACAAGAACCAGGCCCAGAACAACGACAACGACAACAGCAACGAGCACAACAATGCAACTAGAATAAAAAATAATACGCTTCTGATTTTGAACTCGACTTCAATTGATTTTTATGGCCAGCTCCTCGTTCTTGGCCCGTTTCTGTTCATTCTCATCGCATTCTGTGGGATTGTGCTCTCATCACGGAGCTCGGAGCTCGGAGCTCTGAGGATTGCTGCCTTTGCCCATTTATCTTTCATTCCCTTGGCTTGGCTTGGCGTTAGACTATTTACGACAAATGGTTTGCTTGTCATAACCTTTCCTTTCTTTTTAATTTTTTCGTATCTTGTATCCTAGCTGGCTGCTTCTACAATTTTGAAGAAGAATAATATTTACAGAGCACGCACAATAGAGCCAGGCACCCAACCAGCAGAACTCCTACGACTCGCGCATTGTTTTCACACTGAATTCCTTGACAATGAGCACATTATTGAGCTCAAGCTGCAGTTGGGTAAAGGAAGTGTGAGTGTGTGTGTGTGTGTGTGTGTGTGTGTGTGTGTGCATAGAATGCCAAGCAGTCGAGCTGCCAAGCAGGAGAGCAGCCGAGCAGTCAACCAATTCAAATTCAATTTGCCCCATTATTTGAGGCCCATTGTTCAAGCGAAATTCTGGTTACAATGCACTCGACTCGATGCGACTCGCAGAGACTGGGCTGCAGTCCAAGTTAAGTGCAATACAAAAGGGCGGCAGATTAAAAATAGCAAAGAGCTGAGCACAAGATGAGAGTTGCTTGCCATTCCCCTACACTCCACGCACCCCACACCCCATTTGCCAAATGAGGAAATGTGGTACAGAGTGCGTCAGTCGCACATAAAGGAAAGTGAGAGCAAGTGAGAGAGCCAGGGCTGAGCTGGAGTATGCTCGACTAAATGAATGCAATAAGTAAATAACAAAATGTCGTTAGCATTTGTGACTGACACTCGCAGCAACAACAACAACAGCAACAACTACACAAACAACTACAGCAACATCCTGGCATAGAAGACACTGAAGCTGAGAAACGGGACAATGGCAAACGGCAAATGCCTGCAATGGGCCGTTGCCGTTCTTGACGTTCTCTGCCCCTATTTGCCTCGTACTTTAACCCGATTGCAGCAACAGCAGCAGCAGCAACAGCAACAACATCAACAGCAACAGCAACAATCTCTCACAGCTGTCAACAGCAACAAATTGCGCGCTAAGCTGACATTAGATTTTGCGCTATGCAGAACCGCATGGCACCAATGGGTCTACACTCTGAAGCACGGCCCACAAACAAAAAACGGCGCAAAACTAGAACGAATGCCAAATATGCTTTCCTTCAACAGGACTGTGAGAGCTATGCATATGTTTATGTGGAACAGAACTCTTATGCTTGACTATGAATATGTGTATGTATATATTTTTCATAGGGGTGAGAGACAATGCCAGCTGTGAGATGTTATACAGAACTTGATTGATTACAATATTTTTTTTTTATTAATTTTTATTTTTATTTTTTATATATGAGTAAGGGTTAGTCTATGCTATGCAAATTTACTATAGTGATGATATGCTAAAAATATATTATACAATTCACTCCATAAATTTTAGAAATCCTATAATATGACTAATTTTGCATAAATTCTATTCTATTCCAATCTATAAATTCTATAAGAGTAGTATGGCATAGTTCTCTCAATTCTAATATGGCTAAAGTTCTTCCAATTCTAGACATCCTATACTCTGACTACAATGGCATAATTCTCTTTATACTAGAAATTCTATGATACAGATATTATAGCATATTTCCCTCAATTCTTAAATCCTATAATATAAGTAATATGGCATACTTCTACGAATTCAATTATTCCTATATTCAGACGAATACGACATAGCTCTCTCATTTCTAATATAGCTGATATAGCTTAGTTCTCTCAATTCATAAATATTCATTTCAGTTCATTTCAGTTCAGTTAATTCTCGCTTTTAGAGCATTTCCGACTGCGCCTAAGCATTATGGACGTTGACGTTTTAGTGGCACATTGTGCCAGTTTTATGGAGTTGGTCCATCTGGACACCAAGTGGCAATCATATTAACTGAGACTAATTGTCAGCAAACTGGCGCAAG